CGTTGACCGCCATTGCGCACAGAGGAAGCGCGGTGGCAGCGTTAGCATCTACATTCATGGTGCACGTCGAATAAAAGCATTCTTCGATATAGCCTGTAACGCAGCAGCTACTTCATTGTGAAATGCAAACCAGGATTGCTAAAACGTTATCGTCCGATTTTATTGATTATTTATATTTCTCCCAGTTGTCCAAGCTCCGAAGTCGAGGGGTTTTATGACGAATATCTGGAAGCCCTCTTGTGCATAACTGCCGGCGACTTTAACATATTTGACACCAGCTTCACAGTCAAGCTTGGGCTAAAGAACGTCGTCCAACCTCCAACCAGGTTATATGTGATCGTTGAAAAGGTACGTGTTAACAACTAGAAAGTGTTTTCCGTTTGCAATCAGGCGCCGCTTGGGAGCATTGAACACGCTGTCGTAAAGTTGCCTCCCGTTGTATATTACAAGATGAATCATAAAGATCTCACCCATCGCAAAGATCGAAATTTCATGCGGAGAATTCCTTCCCCAGGAAATTCAGCGATCGCGTGAAACTATTGTTTCCACAGATTTTAGTTTATTTTACGACAGGGATGTATCAAAGTACTGCGACCAGTTAACAAGTTAGTTAAACTTCTGCTTCGACTCCTGCAGTCAAAATGAGACAATTTTCATCCGTACTGATAAATTGTCGTTTCAACGTCTAAAGCGACCGCGTAGTCCTAAAGAAAAGGCTTTCAAAAGCAAAGATATTTTGCGAGAAAAAAATCGAATTGCGTCGCATTAAGCATATCTACGTTCAAACCATACTGGAAACAATAGTTATTAAGAAATATGGAAAATGCTGAAACAGTTAAGTAGAGCCATTCGTGAGGTCACGCATTTAACTCCGCATGTGGAAAAAGTAAACCTCAATTTTGTGACTAAGTTAATAATTCAGCCTTGGATACATCCTCTGCTGAGTTACATCTGCCCTCAAATAACTAACCTTCTGTGAACAGACCGGAAGTACGCCGGGAATTAATCGGATTGCAATTTAACGTAATACTTGGTCTGGATAAGTTGTCGCCTCTAGCCGACTTGTGCACATCGTGCATTAAGCAATATAAGATAGCTGACAGTTGGCGAAGTGCAAGCATCACACAGGTGCCAAAGAACGGAAACCGCATATATAGGCCGATGACTCAGGTCGGTTAATTTGTAGACATTTGAGAGGCTTATTCAGAAAAAGATTATAGCGCACATGCATTTGGATGACACTCATCAGTTTTCATGTCGCAATCCAAAGTCCAGCTTAGATGCAATACCATGTTCGGTACATACTGTGATTTCGTCACTAGATAATAAAAAATAACCCATCCACATCTGACTACTGGATTGTAGCAACAGTTTCGGTTGTGTGAACCGCGAATTGCTATTGCGCGATCTAGAGTTAAAACATCGGTTGTTTTTCTATTGAAAGATAATTGCACCAGGCATACCCAGATTTCAAGGTTTCTGGAGAAAACCTCATCCTCACACACCATCAATTCTGGTGCTTTTCAGGGAGGCATTTTGTCCCTTACATTACCTCAATTCCCGTCCCTGAAGAAGCCATCTCAGTGAACCATGCGGATGACGTAATCCATGGCATCCATTTCCTAAACCCTCCAAGACAACCTCACAGGTTAAAACAACTCTTGCTGCTTACCGTTGAACACCTCAAAATGCAAGGATGTCCTTTATCCCTATTCAAAAGAAAAGGTTACTCGTAAATCCCATCTCAATGTTCGCAAATTTGCATCGATGGTGAAGGTTTGACATCGTGCACTTGAGTAAAACACCAGGAAGGGACACTGAGCGGTGAATTTACGTGGTCATCTTCACATGAAGGAAACATTCAATAGTTAGGAGAATGTCATTATAGGTTACACGTCTCAGGTTTTATTCCGTACTCCGTATTTTTGACCTAGTGTCCTATCACTACAGGTATGTTATCCTACTGAACCTATTGCTCTTCTGTGATCCTACCTGGTCTTCTGAGAATGGACCACAAAGTAACTGCCAGTTCAGTGAAACATCTATCCTAGTGTAGTGACATTTCAAGGTCGGAACTTGTTAACCTTACTGTAACCAGGCATTTTAACTTCTGTAAACAGCTTGCTGCTAAAATACTTACAGGCCATTGTCCGGATGAGTATCAACCTTCTCGGCCAGACAGAGGTACAAAACTATATATGATTCACGCTGGTTGCAGGTGGAGAACACCTCAGCTGTGGTGCCGAAATACATTAAAAAATAAAAAAAACATGAAACAGGCACGCCGGCTGAGCCACCATTAACGGTTGGACATCATTCCGGAAAGCTAACACACGGCTATTGTGCCGCAAAAAGGTTATATTATGCCTAATAAATGAGATCGTTGTTGGAGGAAAGACCAAGGGGGAGGGGACGGACAAAGGAACTCAGAACATAAATGCTATTGGGGTCGGTTCATCGTCATGTCAACAAGTGTATAAAGCAAAACATGTTCATCGCCCTTCGGTCTCCAACCAGGGAGCCGGGAGACTCCGACCGAGGCCAAGTTCGAACTAAGGGCTTTTATTTCTCTTGACCAAGTCATCGCTTCTGGACCACTTCTCTTCTTCCATCCACACACCCGGCGCGCAAACAACGCACGTCGCGCGAGTCCGTGGGTTGGCATGTACAACAGGTGGCCCAGCCATCGGAGCCATGTGCATGATATAACGGTGCTGAGCGGTTTGCTTCTTCTCCATGCGCCATAAACAAGGCGTCGAACAAGCTTATTGCCCACACGGTGTTTTCACCAGATATAAGCCAAATTGCATAGGCACTATAGCACATCAGTATCTTTTCAACAGTCTATGAATAGACATAGAGCCATCAGAAACCATGGAACACAAAAGAAGGTACAGAAATTGTAAAAGAAAACACAGCACAACACATTAAAGTCCATGGTTTCGTCAGAGGGCGAGATACTACCCGGTTGCCCAAGCCGAAGTAGGGTGTTGACTTAGGGGACACCACCCCGAGCCTTTGGCTGAATAGCCTGCCCGCAAGGCAGCGGAGCGAATTCAGGGAATCGCGCCCATTGGGAGCCGGTGACTGATTGCTCAGTTCATACGCCTTTCGTTTGTTCCTTTGTCAAACAGGGGCCCAATGCTCCCCAGAATTACAGCACAAAGTTGCTGGAATACAATGCTTCGCCAGGATGAAGCAAGGGGCAGTGACTTTATTTAGTGGCGAGTCACGTCCGCCACATCACAGTGTTGTTAAACGGACATATGTGGCTTTTTATAGGGAGAACGCTTGCCAGGCGAAAACCCACCACGTCCTGGAACACTGCCGCCGAACCATTTGCTGGAACGGGAAAATCCCGAACCACCCAGCTGGCACCACGAGGAGGTTGTTCGGCAAGAACCGGTTAGGGCTGTCAAGTTTTTCAACGATTGTGGTATGATATATGTCCTCATGTACTATACCATTTCAATATTGATCCTGCCCGTGGCGTGTGTGTTAGAGCTGAACATTCACTCCTTATGGGTGCATAAAACACATTCTTGAACTGACTTGGTTTGAAAAATCGAAGGTATTTAATTAAGTAATAGAATGAGGCGTAGAAGAGCAAAAACATATAAAAGTGGTTGGATCCGAAGTCTATGACGCTAGTTATATTGCAGTAAGTGCGCAAATACGAACACTAATTGTTTCCGTATCCAAGTGAATAAATGACAGAGTTTCCATAAGCACCAAGTCAAAGCACAAGGCATCCAGAATCCGCTACTTCGCGCTTGATTACAGGCAAGTGAAAGGTTCTGTGTAACGATTCAAGTGTGCTCGCCAATGGGGAATGGGAGACACCCAATGCGTCCCAATACACACACTTGATTGCACACGGTCGGTGAGTATGAAGTCAAAATCAAATAGATGACACATGTTCGTGGCACCAGGCAATAGGGTACGAGGTGGATATATTTGGGTGTTGCTCTTCCCAACCCTGACACACCACGACCGCGGTTTCGTTTTGGTTTAGACTCATCAGGTGGAGATAGCCTGAGCTAGGGTGGAGCTCAGAGCTTAGTACTTCAAGGCTGACGCCCTGAACACTATGCTACTGAGATCCGCGAGCAACGCTTGGCACAGCGGAAAGTAATTCAAAGCTAAATTTAAGGAGCACGCTGTGTACGAGGTGAGCTATTCGCACACCAACGTAAACTATCACACCCAACCTGAATCACCGGTAGAGTGAATAAGCATAGCTCGTTAATGGCTGATTGATCTGACAGGAGTGGCTCAAAATGTACTCTAAAGATCATCTAGTATCACTTGATGGAAGGAAGAAGAAAGTATGCGGACGCCAAATTTTATGACCGAGTCTCTGCCACTGGCCTTGATTCTCACCAACCCATATAGATTCGAGAAAAGTTATCAGTGGTACGTCGGTATACCGTATTGATGCTTCGCTGCCACGGTGCTGTGACCGGCGGCCCGTGCGCTAAAGATATGGCGAGGTCGCCGGTACCTACGCCGACTCACATCGAGGTTGTTGGTTTGTGAATGTTTAGTGGAGTTAAAGAAGTGGACAATTAGGTGCGTTCAGACGCGTGTCTCATCATTGTTCTCTATTTTAACAGCCAGAGCAGTGCCCGTTTGCGGTCGCTGATGAGACTGATGACGCTCATCAGTTTTCGTCGCTTATTCTACACCTAAAAGTCCTCAATAAAATCCTGTGCTAGACACCTTGCCACATCCTGTTAATCAACGATGAGCACGATAGCATACCCCAATGAAAACCAATAGGCAGGCAAACCCTTGCATCATGTTGCAACTTGGTCTCTCACTCTCTCGATGATGGACTGGACACCTCGTCTATAAAAGAACCTAGTTTGAAAAGGGCCCCACTTCTACTGGCACCAAACAGTAGTGGCAAAAGTTCGGTTAAAAGGCGTGAATGGGGGGAGTAAGATGAACCGAAGAGGAACAACGGGAACTGATGTCAAGTATTCGAGCAGGCTTACTCGTGATGCAATATGGAAGCAAACGACTGACCGGCGATCCCGCGGGTCCTGTCAATCTTCTCCACCGCCTGCTGAGCGATTCCGACGACCGCGTCTTTCACACTATGGAGAAAAACAAGGAAAATTGACTTAAGGCAACTGTGGTTGAAGGGGCTCATTGCAAGACAATATCAATGTCATTGGAACAGTATTGGAGATCGACACGAGGGTATAAGCACTGACTGGGAACAGCGCACCAGAGAAACATGTGCAATGAGGTACAAAGTTGTACTAAAGGGTAGAGTATGAGGAGCAAATTACGGACAACTGAAGAGCCACGAGACGGTAGTGCGAGCAGTGTACCAATATGGTAACGGAGAGACAAACTCACAGACGAGGCTGGATGAGGTCTTCGTAGCCACTGGTTGTCATAAAACTGAACAGTCGATGCAAATTCTTCATACCAGCTTCACGTACTCTAGAAAGGAAATCAACTTAAAAAATGAACAGACAACACAAATGATCTGATTCATGTGGACAAAGCTTTGTTAAGGCACACGGCCTAGGGTATTCAAAAAAGGCCCATGATGTAACTGAGAACGAGACAATTAAAGTAAAAACGGTAAGCGTGCAGAGGCATCCCACTGTACAGGTATGCGGCATCGTCCAATTGCCAAAATTACAAAAAAGTGATGAAATGGCCTCACACAAGAAACAATACCGACTCCCTGGAGGCAGCGCGTCTGAACTCAACAATGACCAGATAGGGATTGCTAGTGTTGACTTATACGTCGTGCTCTAACGCCCGGTCATCATCCACAAAGTACAGCATCTCAATCTCTGGGGGGTGGGGGAGGGGAGGAAACGAATAACTAGCATAAAAGGAGAAACGAACTGGAATTGTGGAGCACAGCATTCCAGACATATGCCCTAGTGCAACCTATTACTAGGATTAAAAGGATAGTGAGCGGAACAAAGCATATCGTGAGTGTTGTTATTGTTGCTCATTGCTTCATAACGACAAATAATAAGCGGGTTGTCATAGCAATCGAGCCATAATAGAAAGAGCACATGGGCAATTTAAATCGTCTTGGTAACCGCTTGAATATAATCGCGTAAAGGCAGGAACATTAGTTTCCGTAACCATGGTCGCCCACTGTGGCAACATGACTAGTACACGTGAGGATGTGCCGGTAATGGTCCTAAATATCCCAATTAAACGGTGTAAAAGAAGGACAACAAGCTCATTTAAATTTGAGCATAGCAGAGCAACAGGACTAGCTAACCCAAGCTATCCCCTTCGCAATACCTAGGCCTCAGGTACCCGAGTAAGGAATATAAGTCAAAAGAATTCAGAGGATGTGTAGCTCGGTTGGTGTGAAGCGGTATCAATGGAATTGCGTGACAGTTGGCTGTAATGAGATGCACAAGCCACGCTTATAGATGGAGAAGTAAAATGGTTGGCTCATTCTGCTGATAATGAAGCAGGTCTGGACTACCGCTGCACAGAATTGGCGTTTGTTAGTGAGATCTGCGACGACTTCAGAGTAGCAACCAAGGTTACCAAAAACACATGAGAAATAGGCGGAGTTTCTTTGGAGCCCGCACAGGTTAAATCGAAGCTTATGTCAGCGCAAATGAGTAAGTACCAACCATGACTAAGAACGTACAAGTTGGTGCTCTGCATGAGTAGGAGGTAAATAAATATATATGCTAAAGGTAAGCTTGAAATAAGGACGATATTCAGCTTCAAGAAAAATTGTTTATCAGTAAACAGGACAAATGTCTATGGAACACGTGAGGGTCACAAAGATAAAAGGAATCCACTCACTGTGATCCAATGTCACCCCGAGAGTCCACCGTGTAGTCAGACAAGGAGTGTACCAATACCGGACCGATTATGCCGAATATGGAGGAATCCAGTTCTGGATGTCCACGTCCCAGTTGTTCACAGACGCTGCGAAAAAGCAATGTGCGGCATTTCGGTAAAAAATACTTTCAGTAATCGAAAAACTAACGGAGCGGGCAACAAAAGAGAACAAGAGGCCAATTCAAAATAAACGGTCTACCGACAGGCAGAAAGAAAGAGGAAGTAGCACGAAATGTGGGGGTCAAGGAGATAAGGCCATAGGAAACGAACGCATTCAATGAGTTGCCATTGGTAGCCCACTTGGCCCTATGCTAGCAGATATTTTCATGCTGATGACAGTATATTTGAAGAAACAGCTCAAGTCCCATACTACAAACACTTTATGGATGATAGCCTGGCAGTTTATCCATTAGAAAAGCAGATCACACAGTTGGTGACGTGTCGGAGTGCGGCGCATAACAATTTAAATAAATAAGTAAACGTTTTATTTCTCGACGGTGCGAGAGAATGTTCCACATTGGGAGAGATCAATAGAGAATGTCAAGCGAAGATGAGGAGCAGGACTACCTGCTTTACTTAAATGTTTTCAATAGATGCAGATAAACGTACAGGCTAAAAGATTCGTTGACAAAAAGCAACGTGGTCCGACCGGTACTTGCACTTCACCAGCTCTGTCAATATGGTACGAGCGGACACTTACGAAAATCTTATTTAGTCGTGTCAGTTGGATATATCCGACTAGTTATCTGGCAGAGGCACTGGAGCTGATTACTCGTAAACTAGCTGCAAATAGCTACCCTCAGAGGTTCATTCAAAAACAGTTAAATAGTCCCACTGAGAGACCCAATGTCCACCGTGCCTAAAAAGAACATATTCTTCGACTACCAGGCATCTGCTCTCTGCCACACAAAACACCTTCTGTGCTGCTAGTCAGCATTATCGACCTAATCCACAAAATGTCGCTGCCTCCACTGGAGAAAATTCAGACTGCCGGGGCCAACTCCCAGTGAGTATACCAATTTGTAGGTAACGGAGGAGCTAGTTACATAGACAGAACCGATAGGACCATAAGTGTCCGAATGAAGTAGCACGTCTCAAAGTGGCGCATACCAAGCTTAGCCAAAGGTCGTCAACACCCTCGAGCGGTAGACACATATTGAGGGTTCCATATACCGGATCGAGGTCAGCACTTCATTCAAAGTTTGCTGTGGCATTCAGAATCCCACCTCCTCCGTTTCGCCAAGGCTGTTGCGATAAGCAAGATCAAACCAGCGTTTTGTGTTTAAAATCAACAGTCAGCCTCAGGTTGTTCAGGACGCAGGGACAAAGATTTCCATTTGTTTGTAAGTTTGCACCAACTGACAGTTGTGTTTAATTAATCGTTATCGGGACTGTGGAGATGATAAGAAATGCATGCATCTGCCAAGCTGCGTATTTTCACTGCTTTACAAACTGTAGAGGGGAACCAAATAGAGACCCAAGCGGAGGCAATGTCCACGCACAAGGCAGCAACGCGCGGTCTACAGTGTGTGTCAGCTTGCAGGGTAACACGTGATCAGTCAGCTGTGAGTGAAAGTCACGTGCACGGGCGTGGAACCGCGTTCGGCTATTCTTCCAAATTTGGGAATCAGGCGAGAATTGATTGGCCAGCGAATTCAAACCGGCGTCAAGGGTTTCGAGCGGAGTCGAACACGGAGACGAATGATTCTGCCGAATATGGCAAACCAATGGAACGGAACTGACTCATAATGGCTGAGGGCTAGATGTTGAAGGTTGAGTGACCATGCTTTCCCAAATTAGTATGTATGGTTCATTAATAAATAAAGACGACCTATTCTGTAGAATATACCGTCTGCCGAGCCTTAGGTTTTGGTTTCCTTCGGTTGCTTGGACGCGTGATTGAGAAGACAGACGATCGCAGTCTCACAGGCGAAGCAGCGCAGCAGTACCAACTGTTTGAAAAGGCTCTCCTTGAAAAGCACAAACATCGCCAAGCATACCGGTTGCATTCGAGTTATGTGCTTTATATGAACTAGCTAAGGCAAAATTTGGATTAAGCAAAAAAGAAAAGACAAGGAAATCAGATAGCGGAGAATAGGGAATTCCAGTTTACCTTCCCATGACGGCGTGACAAGTTCAATTAATGCAAACTGTGTCGGCTATCTGAGGTGTAATAGTTGAATCAACTCACCCCACAAGCGCGCTCAAGCCATTTGCCCTAGCCTCACCCCAACTGCGGCTCTTTGGGGTGATTCGGCAACAGGCTGCAATTTTTCCCAACACATAACCCACGTTGCCAGAAAACAGATCGCTGGGTGCGTGTCCGAGCACGTGTAAGTACCCAGCAACGCGAGCCTCAAGGACAGAGTCCAGCTGGGATAACATGTGTGGAAGAATCATATCTATCGAACAGAAAAACGACGAAAAGAAAATTTTACATTCTGCATGAAGCAGAGCGACGTAACAAATATAATTCATGGAATCCGGAAACACTGAGTGCGCTACATGTGTATAATTGTAGAGCCGCTGGACTGGGACACAACCTGCAGCGCAGCTCTGCCAAAAGTTAACACATTCGATTAATATCTAAGCATAGTCTCAAGTGTGTTTTATTGCACAAGGTTAATGTAGTTGGAGCAGTTCCACTGGGTTACTAGGTGCATTTGAGAGGACACAACGACATGAAAATAGTCATTGACCTCAACTAATATCGTAAACACGGCTGGATCATTTTTCTGATCAAAAGATGGTGAGTTTATTCTTGGTCACCAGACAGGCCATACAAAGTTGGCATATTACCCCTGTGTGCGAGACAGTCGAGGTCATCATCACCATCATCATCCTCATCATCATCATCATGCAGGTTAGCTGCAGGTGGAAAACAATTAGCCTTGTGCCGCAATGCAAAAGACAAGATGAAGAAAAAAACAGTGGCACGCCGGCTGAGTCCCCAGTAACGGATGGACATTGTTCCGAAGAGCTAACAGCCGGATATCGTGCCGCAAAAAGTCATAATATGCCTCACGAGTGAGATCGTGATTGGAGGGGGATGCTAAGCAGGTGGGGGATAGACAAAGGAACTCACAACACAAACGCCACTGAGACCGGCTCCGAGCCATATCAGCAAGTGTGTCCAACCGAAGGTCCTCATCGTCCTTAGGACCCCAGACAGGCAGTCGGGACGCACCAACCGACACCATCTTTGAAGTGATGGTTTTCATTTATCTCCATCAAGTCACCGCTTGGTCTCCGCTCTTTCTCTTCCAACCGCACCCCCCGGTGCGATAACAATGCACGTCGAGGGAGCCGTGGTGCTGACACATGGCACATCCATCAGAGTCTCGTGCGTGATATAATGGTGCTGAGCGGATCACCCGCTATTCCTACACCAAATACGCGAAGCCCAACACGCTCAATGCTCACGCGGTGCTCCCACCAGACATGAGCTAGGCTGCGAAGGCAGCGATGATCGAATGTGACGAGCCTCTTTAGGTCTGTCGATCTGATAGGCCAGGTTTCACAAGCATACAGGTGAGTTGAACGGACGGCTGCGTTATAAACTCTTCCCCTTCAGGGCGACAGAAATGTCGCGTCTCCGCCACAGGTGGCAGAGATTGGCAAAAGCACCTCGAGCTTTGCTATACGGTTCGTAATCTCATCTTCGATGCCACGGACGCTAATATCGCTGCCTAGATACTTGAATTCCAGAACGACTTCAAGCTGATCACTACAAAGCGTTAGTGTAAGGGTGGGTCCCCACCAACCTTGGAGAAATACCTTGCATTTCGATGGAGCAAAGCATAGGCCAAAGCGATAGACAGCCAGTGGTAATCTGTCGTGCTGATTAGCATGTTTGGAAGCTGTCACAGATTACGGCAACATCGTCCGCGTACTCCAAGTCAAGAAGTCGCCCATCATGAAGTAGCTCCATACCTTCTAGGTCGTGGCCAGCGAATACTGCTTCCATGACTTCGTCAATTGAGAAGTCAGAGAGAAAAGATGACAGCAGGCAACCTTGTCTCACACCACTGGAGGGATTGAAGGACTGCGACAGTTTACAACAAACCCTCATTCTGCCCAAACTATGCGCGTACAGCGCTTTGATAATGTTTACATATTTATAGGGCACACCTTTTCTTAGCAGACAGTCCAAAAGGGCACACCCATCCACCGAATCGAAGGCATCTTTGATGTCGAGAAACACAACTACGGTGGGGAGCCAATAAACATGGCGGTGCTCCAACAATGGACGCAAAGTGAAGGTGTGATCGATGCAGCCTCGATTTCGACGAAAACCGGCTAGATCTTCGAGGATCTGGCCTTCATGAGCGGCAGTCATTCGGTGGAGAATGACAGGCGTAAGTAATCTACAGGCAATTGAGATCAGTTGATCACTCTATGATTGCCGCATTCCGAACGGGGGCCTCATTTTGAAAAGTGGGAATATGACGCAGCGGCCCTAATCTGTCGGCACAGTCACCTGCTCCCAAAGTTTCACCAGCATTTCGTGTAAATGATCTACTAGAGCAGGTCCCCGAATTCGAAGAGGGCTGGAGGAATTGCATCTGCCACTGCGGCCTTATGTAATTTCAACAGCCTGGTCTCACATTCGATTTCTGGGCGTGATGGCGGAACCAATGAGACGACCAAGGGAGAAGAGCGTTCAATGCCCGAAAAAGAAAGCGATAACAGATTGGTTAAATTGCCTTGCAAAGTGTTCGGCCTAACGCTCCAAGCGTTTTGACAGACTGCGGATCTGCTGCCCAATTTCGTCGCGTATAATCTCGCTAACACCAGGTCTGCTGCTGCCTGTCTCCTGTATCAAATGGAATAACTTGCGATGATTACCAACGGTAGCGGCTGTTTCCATTTCCGAGGCACGATGAGACCACCAGGCTTCGCGGTCTCTCTTCAGGCTAGTGCGCAGTTTTGCCCTGAGATTTTTGCGAGCCTCATTGTATTCGCTTCCAGCCGGAATACGTCAACGAGCATCTATAAGTTCCAGAGACTGTGTAGAGACCCATAGTCTAGGTTGGTAATTTGATTTGCCGCATGAAGACATGTCTGCGGATAGTAAGGTTGGACGAATATGCGACCAGTGATATTCGACGGTGTTTAGTGGGAGCTTACTCAGTCCAGATGTCAGCGCAGTTTGATACACATTCAGAACACCTGACTTCGCCAGCTGGTTGATGTCAATCCGTTCACATCGACGTTGCGGACGTCCATCGAAACGCACCCAGAGGTCGGCGCAAACAAGTGCGTGGTCAGAGTCCACGCTCGTGCTCCAAATCGATCGACAGTTTTGGACACCGCCTTTCCAGTGGTAACTGATCGCGATATGATCGATTTGCGTCCATAGCTGGCCCGAGGCTGGTGGGCGCCAAGTCACGGTTCTGCGGGTGTTGTGTCGAAAGTTTGTGCTCGAGAGAAAGAGACGAGCATCTCCACACAGCTGTAGCAATCGTTCACCGTTATCATTACGGGACACTACGCCACGTTGGCCGCCTAGATGAAGCTCATCTTAGGTGTTTAGATCGCCAGCCAACACCACAGTATCCGTCGAGGTCATGAGAAACACCGGACACAGAGAGACTAGCCAAGACGGCAAAATATGGAAACAGGCATACCAAATATTGTGAATAGTCCAATGGTCAGCAAAGAGATCATGTTCCCTCTACTACACTTGAAATTTGGCTTAAAGGAACAGTCTGGGAGAGATTTGAATACTGGTGGTGAATGCTGTTAGCACATAGTTTCTGCTTCTGCGTTCTTATCTTTGTTAAAGAATAAAGCCGGTGTTTTGACGCCAATCGAATTTGAGCTCTGATGCGTGATGAATATTTTGTCCCAATGGTGAATGTCAAAGAAATGAATGCATGGCAGTCATTCAAGACGGTCACACAAAACCATGGGAACAAAAATCAGATATTTAAGAGAGACGGATGGACAGAATGCTGCTGGAATTTCACGTTTTTGTGTGCAATATCAACATGAAGCTGCTTCCCGGAACAGTCATCTTGGTCAGTTAACCACAAATACTGCGGCCGTAAGTGATAGATAAGAGGAACGTTTCCGTCAAGATTTGATAACGATGAAAGAACGTGTTATTAGGAATGATGGGACAAACACATGGTGGCTGACTATATTGTTGGAGCATGAAACGTGGCTACCCTGACAAAAATTAGTCTACTTTCAAAGCAAATTCTTGCCCGATTAATGCCTTTTCTGCATACATTTTTGTGCTTATGACGTGTCCACGCAAAATGTTGTGTTTAAAATGTTTCGGAACACTGGTAGCTCGGGTTGATGATTCAGTTGTAGAAACTGCGAAAAGGACCATGTTGGCCAAACAGGGAGAAAATTAGCAACACGAATACAAGAGCACAAAAGAGCGTGCAAAAAGCAATATGCACCATTGCTAGTTTCAGCGCACGTGGAAAAAAGGAACACAGCTTCGATTGGGCCAAAACAAAAGTCCTGGCACGAAGCGAAACAGGAAGAAAAAGGAGTTCGGAAGCTAGTTCTCAACGAAAGACATCGACCCAGCATACCAGCCCCTCCGACGGAAAGAAATTGGACAAATTACAAGACGCTGATTGAATAGGAACAACTCGAGCGACGACCTCTGCCGCGGGGAAAATGGGTGGAGATCAAGGGACGCAGATCGAAGCTGTCAGTTTCAAAAGTCACCTGCACGTCGATCACGGATCGACGATTCAATCAGCAAGATTACACTCTGCACCTCAGCGCACTGACAGTGCCACCTCGCATGGTGGTGAAACGCCTACAAACAAAGTTTCAAGCTCGGAAAAGGAATAAGCAACTAAAATGTAGTGTTGAGGGTATATCTTTACATAGTTATATGGTTAAGATACGTTCATCATTGTGAACACTTTCGTCTTTCGCAAAGATATTTATGGCCGATCTTCAAAAAACGCATAGTTTAGAGAAAAACCAATATCAGATTAGAATTCAGCACGCTCAAAGAATGTAAGCAGCAGTGTTAGTTTCACGCCAGCCCTGTGTTATTGGGTGTGACCCGGGGAGTGATGGTAACACACTGGGCAAGCTGTTTTATGCTGCTCCGAGAAATGAGAACACATCCGGTACATTCGCATCGATCGATAAAAGAGCGAAACTGCGAAAACATCAACCATGTAACAACTTGTCAACGGCACATTGTCTCCATTCTCTCATAATGTGACTCTGACTTGCAAAAACCAAACAGGCCACGGTAGCCCAGTGATCATCACGTCTAACAAGATGACCAGTAAGTGCTGAGAAGTGCAACTATGACACTGTCCGTAACATGATGTATGTTAAAAACACCGTCTTTCGCGGTCATCGCACATTGGGTGTGGAACACGAATTGCTACACAAACATGCTCAGATACATTTCTGAACTTTATTTGCAAAAGAGGCATTGAAATTGGGCTCTGAGGTTTCCCTTAGGATATGGTTTAATGCTACTTAGTGCGCCTAAGATAGCTGTGCTGCGCTATAGCGCCAATAACTGGAAGCCACCGCGAAATAAACTGTGAGAAATGCCCTTTCTTGAGTACAGCCAAAAAGCAAGATACTCAGTAGCAAGGTGCCGGAAAAGGAGAACCACCGTGATGGTCGGCAGGACAATATTGGTCACTCTCCTTACGTTAAGACACCAACCGGGTTGAGTGCACAATGATGCGTGACTGCATCAGAGTAAATAAATGTAGGTGCTAGAATAATACAAGAAAGCCGGTTGCGTCCCGACGTAGAAGACAGTAGTATTTAACTTGATAGCAATCGTCCCCATTAGATGCAACTGCCCAAGAGACCTGGATCGCGATAGAGATGTCATCAGCTGCATCAGCCAAGGTTGGCGCCATAAAACAGCCCAGCTGTCCAGGTGAACAGACTAACTCGATAAACTGCCATATATTATCGAATGCAAGCCGAAGTGCTTGAATGGTTCCCAATACGTCGCTATCGGAAACCAGCGCATATCTCTGAACACACCGACTTCAGAGTTAAGGGTTGTTGAAACGAGGCTGTTGGCGGTACAACTGACGAAACGAAAACACTCCGCTTGCAACATTGCTGGTGGTCCCAAGAAAAACCGCTCAAATTAGCTGCGAAAGTGAGTTCAACAATTTGGTGGCTATCTCTGTCAAACTCGAAGAATAGTCAGATCGTATCACAAAGAGATTTGTGTTGTTTTCCACACGAAAAGAAGCCACTTCAGTAACTCAGGTCAGGATATCGGTTACTTCCTTTGCAGTGAGCCAAAAGGACCCCCCAAAACCATTAAACGATATAAGTTCTGAGCAGACAATAGTGCAAAGACCAAATTGATGATTTCCTGAGCTGATAATGCAGTCCTCATGGACGTACAAGTGAAATTTCAATGTGAGCATATCAGGATCTACGTTAATTTCCGCTTCGACCTGTGTGGCCATCCTGAAGCGAATTACCAAAGAATGGATAAAATTCCTCACCGTCACCTAAACAACTGTGAAAGAACGATTATAAAAATAAGTGACAAATAGGCAAAGGCATCAGCAGTACGCCGCAGGTGCGCAGTACTGACGCTTCGCTGACGGGCAACCACCACCGGTTGCAAGTGGGCTAAGGATACTGCGAAGGTCGCGCTGTCCATACGCAGGATTGAACCCGCGCCGTCAGATTACAAGACAGGCTACCTTAAGGCTACAGGCCAGCAAATATAGTCAGATGGCTCTGCTTTACCACAAGAGCTGAAGTAAGGCAGAATACTTTGCATAACGGAACTATTTGAGAGAACTACGACCATTGCGGTCTAGGAGCCTTTAGATGGAGCCCGCGCAGAAACACCATTGCAACAGCCTCCTCATCGCCAAACACATCTGCGATCCTTGCTCAAATCAGCTCAAGTTTTCTAAACCTCATGGAGTGCACTGTTATTTACAGTGAGCTCAAAAGAACAAAGAAAGGCTGGTAGCCCGGATGTAGCAGATTTTAGCCTTAAGAAAGAGTGCCGATTGCATAAAGTCGCCAGTAACAGATAGAGAGTTCCGTAAGTTCCAAACGAGTGGTACCATACTCAGCATTTGTAAACCAGCCAGAGGATCATTTGTGTTTGAAAAAGGTTTGCATAAGCCCCAATGTGCAGCATTTACTCGATTACCGTTGTAAATCTTCGACAAACATAATTCCAAGGAACTACATACGTCCTCATGCTGATGAAGCATAGCGATACATCAATAGGCTGCAATAATAGACAGTGAGTGCTATAGAGTAGCTGGCATATTCCACTGTACCAGAACTACACAGAAAGTGTAAGAGTGTACAATTCCTGTAACTAGACTACAAAAAGTGTCCATGGTGGTCTAGGGAAAAGATCAAGATCAGTCTAGCTTTTGTCAGAAAAGGGTGTCAAATGGAAAAAGCACAGGCTGGTGTGCGGCTCAGCTAAACCGAAAAAGCTCCCTGCCTCGTGAGGACTGTCATGTTTTGCGAAGGACAATACCTCTTTTCCACTTTCTAGGTACATCAATAGTCATCCTATTTCATACATGATTCAGGTGTCAACTGGGCGCCGTAACGGCGCTTCGCTGCCGCGCGATCACCACCAGTCGCTCACGGGCTGAATATACCGCGAGGAGGCTCGCCTCTACGCGGATTCGAACGGATGACTTTACGGTTACAAAACTAGATGCGCAGACCACTCGGCCACCGGCCGACCATGAATTAGGTGCAAACATACTGACAACGTTGTCCCAAGGAGCAATCAGTAAGAGACGTCTCCGACCCTATGGTGCTCATACCGATTCAACGACTCTAATGTGGATTTCGTTCTTTGTGCTGATACACTGCCAGTCATTTCAAACACCATCCCGCTTCTGCTTGTGATTGATTACAAGAAGTTTGGTCAATAAATGGCTGTGGAAAATGTCATCAGAAGTCCCAGATCTAAAATGTGTTCAGTGCTGAGTGGATTGTGATATCCGAATTTATCATTTGCATATATTTACTCCAATAGTTAAACTGCTCTCCAACTATTTTTCCTGGTCAGCATTAAAGGAACTACAGCTAAGTGAGTGAGCTAAACAGCAAATTTGTGGATGTGATGGCGCTGCCAAAGGTCCTCTCGTAAATATTATACATTCATTAATGGTGGTTTTCATTAGTAAGCAAAAGATGATCAGAAGTCATACTAACCCTTCAATGCGCGTGCAATTCAAAGTTTAATTTACTAGCCCTTTCTGCATCAGCAGCTGAACCCATCGAACCTGGCATATACACTGCTCACCTCAACGAAAGTAACTCCTTTTGCGTTTTATGCCGCATATGGTGCTCAACAGCTAGATAGTTTTTAGATGCAGTAGTCACCAACGGCTCTAATAAATACCTCTTAGTTATGGTGTCGCCTCTAACACGAGAAATGACCCTGCGCGGTAATATTTAAAGCATTTGAGAGACCCAATAATCACCAGCTCAAATAACTGTTGTATTTCAAAGTTAAAACGCCCTAACCCAGCGAGAAAACCTTAAATCTTTATTTGCTAAAGCGCTAAACCGTACAAGTTTGTCCAAGCATTAGTTTTGCACCCGCATGGTATGGTTTCGAAAAACTAGTAATTTCTTCACTGGCACCAAGCACAGTTCTTAGCATATCCCTTCCTAAAGATTCTATATTTTTGCTGCTAGACAACAGCTTTTTCCTCACTCTGAATGCTCCCTCTTACCTGTTTCGGAGTAATATGAGAGGTTCCGCCCGCTTAAAGTTACCAGTGAAGAAGTTAATGAATACAGGTCAGTCCATCCTGGAACGCTTTCGAGAACAACGTGGAAGTTCGGGTCGGCAACCTAAGAATAGGCCAAACAGTGGTTGGCTAAGTGATCCCATTCGGAAGAAGTCCTGGTTTATAAATCTAGTGTTGAGTATTGAAAGGTAACAACACCAATTGTTGGTATGCTGAATTCATAAGTGACATCGGCTTCTAGTCCAAAGGTAGTACGCATTCATCACACGCCGGTCGTAAGTGCCTAACCAACAGGTAACGCGGAAACGTGCAACGCCAGTTGCTGGGCAGCTGGTACATCCGAGCAATCACGACGGAAAAAGTAAGTAAGATAAGGGGATGACTATCACCATACACAGAAGCAGCCGCTTTAGAAGGCACCAGATTACATTCGCTGTGAGGCACTGACGTCAAAGACCTCCGAAAAAATGATGTGTGCGTCATTATGACTGCTAATTTGCCTCCTCCCCCGCGAAGCCGAAACGGCCTAAATGTAATGCCCGGTGTGTTGTAGGTGGAGAATGTAGACGAGCAATGACAAAAGTGGGTCATCATGTAAGACAGACGCGCAGACAGAGAGGCGATAAAAACGGAAAATCGCTAACCTACACCAAGACTCAGGGGTCTGTGGTGATCTTAGTCGGCCAGACACCCGTGCAACTCATTTGCAGTGGTGGTGATGTTAGGAAGTTACAAATGCGAAATATGATGAACAGACAACTCACCACGATACTCGACCCGCAATACACCTTGGTCCGTGTATAGATAGGCAGCCAGCAGAGCTGGGTATGCGTCTCTTGCTGCAGTCTAAATGTAAGAGAAGAGGTGCAAATGGGAAGGGGAGAGCTAAGCGGAACAATGTGTTGTATTGTTGAGTAAAGTTTAGGAGAAAATATGGGAACATAAAAGCACAGCATGAGAACAACGGTAATCGGGGAGTTTTCACTTGTGGTAGCGAAGCAAGTAGCCAAACAAGTAGTAAAAAAGGAAGTGAAAAGTCGCGATGCAAGGCTGCATTGCAGCCCGCAGCACCGAAATGCTCAGCTTACAACGGCTCATGTGTAAGAGAGTAGTAGACAGCAGTAGATCAGCCACAGTGTCAGAGTTGGAAATACTGTAACCGCGCGAACAACCAGAGTGCGATGCTTTGTTTAGCGCCTTCAAATGGAAAGTTTATCGTTATAAATAAGCAAGTGCACGAGACAAAATGGAATAAAGGAAAAATATAAAAGATGGACCTATAAAGAAGAGAAACAGTTGGAACAGTGGACTTTGGCTTAGAGTGGATGTATTGGCGCCACAAGTAACAAAAACAGCTCAAGTCGTTAGACCGACGGCTGAAATTCAGCCATAAAATCGAAATTTAGAGAGAAATAGTATGTGACGACGAGTGTGCTTGCACGTCAGTGCCCGTACTTGACGGGTTTCGAGTGTGATTGCACAGAAACAGGTTCCAATGGAGCATATGTTCGTGACCCAACCAAGCGTGGATGGTGACGTAATACTACTTAAGATTCGCGTGACGCAAACAGGAAAGAGTCGTATCAAGATACTGGTGTTAAATGCGAGGCTACAGGTCACCTAACGGAAAAGACGAAAAACCACAACAGTTTCTAAAATGAGTAAGCATACGCTCCGTGCATCGCTTGGTTCACACGTGGAGTCGTATAAGTGAAAGATTTAAGGATAAATATGAGTTGCGAGCCCAAAGTGAGCGAGTAATTAAATGCCCGTAAGGATGACATGTGGAGCACCATTTACAAGACGGCGCGAGAACAAGAACTCCTCGAGAAACGTTCGGTAGTCCAAGCTGTTTCCATGTTTTCAAGTTAAAAAAAACTCTTCAAAATAAATGGTAAAACTAATTCATGGCAATATCCTGTTCTATGATCCGGCGAAACGCTAGTGAATATGAGCTTCGGGAGGCAAGTAGAAATCGGTGATTAAGAAAGATGAGGATAAGAAGTTGGCAAGTTGGTTTGGAGACATTTGAAGAGAAAGAAACGGGGATGTAGCAAAACTGCTGGGTGACAAAGAATAGGAGTGTAAACCGAGAAATCCAGTGGACCCAAAATGAACAGATGTCCAAGCCTGAAGGGGGCCATGAATACTTCGAAGGAAAGAGCAACAATGACAATGAGAAGAAGTACCCAGGATCCCAATCGCTAATAGTGGTATAGCTGCAGCGAGTAACACACACGGGAAGTTCCGAGTAGCACGTTGTGTCAAACCTGCTGCTCGGTGTAGGTCGGTTACACCAGCAATCGCCAAAGTTATAATGGCTTAGAAGCTAGTCGCCATCCCACAGGTATACGACCGGCGCGGAGCGACAGAGTTGTGTGAAGGGAAAAACGCGTACTACGCAACGAAGTATGAAGCAGGAGTCAGTATGCATCCCTTGACAAACAACAGAACGAAGGGAGAAGTAAGGTTACCTGTACTTCCAGCTCCTTATGGTCCATACAGTCATCCAAGAAAGCCCGCCACGAATCTGTGAGAAGAGAAGCGAAAACGTGCAGACAGAAAGAAGTAATTATGATGAAATCGCCCCAAGATAACGATCACACCATTCTAGATGGTGGGGGATAGCACATTTAGGGTGCGAAAAAATTGGAGGGCAGTCAGCATATACGATCGTGAGTAACTGGGTAGCCTAGGTTCAAGCGAGGTGGTACTTTAATTCTACAGTGTCGACCAACAGGTCATCCAAACTCATGTAACAGAACAATATCCCTACCACAGATAGCATCCGTGAGTAGTTTAAGCCGTTACATATTTTAATGGCAGAGAAGTTGAAGTAGCCACGTCTGAAGACGGCCGACGGTGGAATGCGATATGAGGTAAAATGCGTTCGAATGATATAACAATAACAATATAACAATAACAATTATTGGCTCGCAACTAAGGAGAAGTAAAAAACGGAATTAACCACTCTAGTGGAGCCAATAAAAGATCATGTAAATCAAGGAGGATGTATGCAACGTGCAAAAACTGAGAAAAACTAGTGCCGCAGATAGCCAGTTAGAAAGGAAGAGCTTGCACGAAGGTTGGGGACAATCCATTTCGATTAAACAAGAATCAGCATTCAGCAAAGTGAGGCACAAGGGATTCACTGGTGATCCATCTACAAGTATGAAAGGAGAATTAAGAGATTTATTCTAAATAAATAAAATGAAGCGTTATATAATGTGGGCCGAGCACAAATAGATAACGTCAAAATATTAAAATAGGCCACGGAATGACAATTAAAAAGAAAACGAATGGAAGTTAGCAGGCGCTGTGTGGCCATTCCGGTCGGTCAACAATTGGCAGCGGGGCGCCTAGAATGAGGTTCCAGTACATCGAGAGTTGAACACCTTAGGACGCGGTGCACATAGGCGCTTTACATGAGCAAGTAACTGAACACCGCACAACAAACACACACTACCAGTGAAGAGGAATAAGATTGTTGAGAATGATATGCCTCGGTGATGAGCAGCTAGGTATTGTCAACATTAACCCGTTGTATGCTGGCAGTACTGATGAGTAACTCCTTGTCTAAAATTTAATATTGTTTAACTGCAAACATTATTCCTGACGGTGCACACGAGGATACGTAAAATAGCCTTCTGACAACAACTAGTACAAGAGTAGAACTCTGAAGCTTTACTCTCCAGTGTGTGGAGTTAATTTTGGTTCATGTCGAACGTCGTCGAAAACTGGTTCCAGAGAACTGTGAGTAGTTGGTTTAGTTGTTACAATTAGCTAGTTTCGTTGTAGCTTGCTAATCCTATTAATTTTCATTCATTTTGCAGCGGACATGCCATGATTCTGCATATTTGTTTCACAATTTTAAGCATATTTTGCATTATACTGATCCGAAATATATGTTGTCACGATAAAGTACCGCCAGGCCTCAAGCATCAAATTGACAGTTGGAGCCTATACTGGGCATAACGATGAAGGGTGAGGCACAAAACTTAGAGATATTAACAATTTATTTTTGTAACCGAAGTTAATTTATGTAACAGTTATTAGTATCTTCATTTTTAGTATTGCACTTACATATGTTATGATAGATGTTTATTGAAATTGTAGGTAGTAGTGGCTCGCAAGAGATACTTGACAGAGGAAGAGATACAGGTGGCGCTGGAAGAGCTAAGATACACCATGTGAGAGTAGTTCAGATGAAGAACTCGAGAAAAATGATGTAGCGGGTTTTTCAGAACTTTAAAAATAATTTACAACTTCCAGACTGACTCCAGTGACAGCGATGTGTCGCTAATGGAATATGAAAGGAAGTGGGAGAAGACACCAATGTCAATTAGCCTGCTATATTTTACACGAGAAGTGGGCCCAGCATTTTGCAAGACGGAACACAGCAGCTAATATTTTGCTCACCGTACTACCATGACGTGCAATTGAAAATTTAAGTCCTCAAACAAAATTGTATATCCAACAAAAGCAAGGCAGAACGAAGCCACTTAGCAGCGAAAAAATGTATGCATTACTGGGGCTTTATATTTTGTTTGGTTACCATCATTTGTCATATCTAAAACAATACTGGTCCAGTGATGCGGACAATGCAATACCAGTAGTTAGAAGAACTATGCAAAGACAGGCATTTTGAAATCCTTGCAAATCTGCACCTGAATGACAATAATGTTGCTCTCATTCGGGATCTCAATCACAATTATCAAATAACTCGATTACCTCACGAAGTGCAGAGTGTAGATGAGAGCATGGTTCTCTTCAAAAGTCGTTCAGCACTAGAACAGTATGACCAAATGAAGCCAGTAAAACGTGGTTATAAAATTTGGTGTCGGGCTGATATGAGTGGTTATCTTTATGAGTACGAAGTGTATCAAAGCAAATCACAGGATCCTCCAAGTTCTCAAAGCATATTTGGATTGGAAGGGGTGATTGTTGTACACAGACTCACCCAAATTCCGAAAGGAAGTGGTTATACTGTAGTAATGGATAATTATTTCACATCTGGTGAACTATTTGAGCATCTGAAGGCAAAAATTTTAATCTGTGAATTTGTCCGTCCTAACAGGAAACATCTTCCAAAACTTCAAGAGGACGAGGAGATGAAGAGAGGGGATTTTGATTATCGTTCTACAGATCAAAAAATTGTTTTTCAAGTGGAAGAACAACAAGTGCGTTCATATGTTGTCCAATAACCATGGATGTTATTCAGTTACTGTGTGGCGTAGAGAGCGGAATGGAACAATGACCGACCTAGTAGCAACTAAGATAGTACAAGATTACAATTCAGCCACGGGCGGAGTGGACAAAGCAGATGTGCTGCGGTCAATATTTGACAGAAAGTCAAAAAATGGTCGCACAGACTGTTTTCATCGATGACGGGAATGGTACATGTCAATGCATATGCGTAAAGGCACGCATCACGACCTCTCAATGCTGGTAGTTCGAGGAAACTTGGCAAGGTGACTTGTTGCTGTGAAAAGCGGATCAGTGAAAAGAGGTCGTCCTTCACTTCATATGATGTCATCACGAAACGAAATAAAGAGAGTAAAGAAAAACAAGTATTCCGTGCCTAAAGACATCAGGACACCGAATCTTGACGCTCATTGGCCTACATTTGTTGGAGAAATCCAATTTGGACCGCACTCCAAATGTTTTTTGTGTCACAATGACAAAAAGAACTGTTTTCAGGAATATCATATCCAGTAATGTACTTTCATCGTGACAACGTTGATGACCTATGTTCCAGTTGGTAATTACAAGTGTCATCTTAAAAATAAACACACAAATGCTCTGGAAAAATTATTTTCTCTCATTCTATGTTTATTACTAACCAAAATCTACCTAAGACAATAACTTAGGAGTAAATAAATTCAGGATTCAAAGGAAGCAACATTTCTATTCAGTTATTCTCCAGGCACGAATATCATGGCAAAAAGAGTACCCGGAAAAAATCCAATGAAATGTAAATGAGGTGGTAATAAGTTCAACTGACATTAACGTTCAGTTTACGGTACAGCGCCCATACGCTGCGGAGTCATGACTGACCAGAAGAAGCCGAATAGGTGGTGTCGGGTAGTGTCAAAGGTCGAAACAAAGCCATGGAAATCAGCGGATTACAGGTAAAGCTGGCGCCTGATTATCATTATGGTACACAGGTTGAGGGTGAGCAACACACTGAAGCTACTATGCCGCAAGAAGAACGGACCAATCTCGATGCGGCTCTCTCCCATCCCTGCATTCCAGTGCAGTGATGAGAGTTAGACCGAAATCATCCACTTCGGTGACGGTCCCAATGATTGGAATGGCAGCGTCTGACTTCGAACTCAATTGCGGTCACAACTGAGATTGCGTGTTGCAATCCAGACGCAAGGCGAGAGTACTCCAAAACCCAAAACTCGAAGGAACATTTTTTTCATTTGTTTACACGTTTTTGTCTTCACATCTTTTTAATTGTTAGGCGTTAGTCTTGTGAATCTAAACTTTCATGTACACGGATCTTCAACTGGTTTCGAATAAGCGCCATATCCTGATTTTTTTCGAACTAACGACACTCTTCGTTCTATGGCCCCCAATCAGGCAGACGACAACAAGACGTAAAGCAAATGATTTCAAATGTTGTCGCCAGGTGGATGGTTGACCACCGTGTGGTCTCTTCCAGTCGAGTACTGCATGAGTAAACAGGGCGGGATGGGGCAAAGCTCAGCTGACCTACGTAGCGAAAGCAGCTTGTTGAGGGAAATACTCGCATTCAATAAGATACGACGTCTGGCTTCACTGTTACAGGTACGTTGTTGTCAGCACACACGAACGATTCTCCTCACGCACCCATTATTAAAGGCGGAGAGCCGGCGCTTGTCATATACGCGAAATGGTCATGACTCACTGTGACATAGCAACACCGCATGAACGGCGGCATTGTAGACGCGACCCCTTAACAAGAGGGTGGCGTCGGGTTTTATCGTTCCGATAAACAGGAAAAGAAAACAGAACTTCTTGAGTATCTAATATGAGTATCATACAGGGTAACAAACCGATATAGGCTAAAGTAAGAGAAGGAAAAGTGAGGGCCCAACAACCCCAACAATTTACCACTAATTAAGATGCTCACCAAGCCTAGGACGGGGTAGGGAATAGTCCGATTTCGGAAAAGAATGCAGATCGAAGTGTGCCACATAATAACACCAGGTCGCACGGATCAGTGGGAAAATTCAGCTAATGATTAGGTCAATTCCTTTTGCCTAGTTGTACATTAGCTAGCGAGAGTCACACAGCAGACGAGCACGATGGTTGTCTGAAACAGAGTGCACAATGATAGTCAAGGGATGCCTACGAAAAGAAGTAGAATAGAACATGCAAAAAGGTGATTATTAAACCGAAAAAAGGATCAGCCATGAGGTTCCTAAGTTGTTCCGGGTGGAGAAAAGGGAAGCTTACGGAATAACCAGTGCAGGAAATCACAAAACCGAGGGATAATCACCCAAACGAATAGTTTTATAAGGAGTTGCGCATCAGCGAGATGACAAGAAAAGTGCAAGATGCGACGGCAGTTAGCTTACCTACTGTTGGATCTTCATGTATGTGAACTTTGGCCCAAGAGGACTTTTCTATCAAGTGGCAAACAGCCCTCCGGAGAAGACCCCCACTGACGCCACGGAACTGATTACGATCGGATAACTAAAAGGGGCAGAATGAGACGGAAAATGCTGAAATAATGTGGCATATCGAGTTATGAAGAAGTACTGAACCAAATCACAGATTGGGAATCGGGTGAATGCGCGATTATGCAGGGAAGGCGAAGGCTATGAGGCAAGTTACTTCCACTGACAACTTCATGAGGTTAAAATAGTAAACATTCCTTAACCCGATTGATACTACAACGACTTTACCCCAAAGTGGGAGAACATTAGGTCGAAATCAGTTGAAAGCTTTGTTTTTATACACTTGATGCTTGAGCATAAGAAACCAACTGGCATCAGAACACCATTCAGCATCAAGAAATTGTTAGAAGGAATGGTCATGGTGTATTGCGTGGGCTGGATACTGTCACGTTGCCCAGGCCTAGACAGGAGAACGATTTGGTTCTCAACCAAAGCCTTCGGTTCAAAAAGCTTACCGCAAGGCAGCGGGTTTTGGCACTGGACAACAGAGAGCCCGTTTTAAGGAGTAAGGAGCCACCCTCACTCCAACCCCTAACCTGGAGGGCCAGGAGACTGAGTTTGTCTGGCCTCTAACTATTGACCAATCTGGTATGAGTGGCTCTGAAGGTGCAAAAAGCACCACGCAGCATAGCTCAATGGACCAGTGAGGCACACAAATCATCGCACCACGGTAAAACCCAGTCTCATCGCGATGGACCAAATCAACCAAGTGAAGAAGTCAGGTTAGTGCAAATTTTTATGTCGAAACCAGTTTTGTCAGCAGCAGTTCCCTTTCCGTCGAGATCGGTGTGCTACTGTAATGCCTAGTAACATGTTAGTGCATATTTGGCTGTAGTGATTAACAAAAGAAATTCGAGTCCTTTATTAAAGGGGAGGTGGCGGATGCCGACACCCACTCTAAAAGTATTTCTGCGGCACCTCATATAGAGATGAATCACCAGGCTGTCACGCCGTCCATGTAACGCCCTCGTTATCAACATTAGTGTATGTGTCCAAAACGCAACGCGGAACAGACGAACTGTGTGTTACAGAGCGCAGATTTGGATGCCATAATAGATCAAATATAGAACAGTCAGGTCTATTTGCACACTTCATGCGTGGTGCCGTTCTGGCTTTCCGTTCCGCTATACGCCTTCCTCCGCAATCTTACGGTGTTGGTTGTCTTGTGCACTACGCACCTTTCGTTTGCAGCGATCCAAGACTTCTGGTTTTACCACACCCGCTCGTTTTCCCGCATGCTACTCATAAGTAGTGTATCACAGGCGGACGTAATCGAGTTCAGTTGCTTTATTTCGCAAATACGGGTCCACATCCTAGTTCTAGAACATAGTTCTAGAACATCATGCCTCCATGCAGCGACACCTCGCGATAACGACAATTTCGTCTAGCCACGGCGTATAATGCATGCAGAGGAAAGCGGTGGATGGACATACAGGGGACATGGCCTAACCAGTGTAAGCGGTTGAGGTTCAACACACACCTGATAGTCTCTTGTCAAAAACCAAATGGTGGACCTCAAGCATTGATCACCAACTGTTCCGACCAGATGTGAACAAGATTCCGCAAGTACCGGTTACCAAACACGGTCGAGCATCTGATGTCTTTGGTGCGCACTGACTGGATCTCTAATCCAGGCAGTGGCGCCGGCCTTAACGCGACGAGATCGGATCTTAACGTGGTTGGATGGTTTGAGTGCCTCCGTGATTCATTTGCCCGCGCCAAGTGATACGTCGCCAGAGTCATTCGTGCTAGACAGATAAATGGCTAGGGGTCAGACTGTTAGTCTCACAATCCTCTTCGGAGGTAGAGGAGGGTGATGGCCTTCTTTTAAAAACCTAGACATGGGAGACAACGGGTTTAAGGGTTATAAGCACGCAGTTACATTGGTGTAGAGCACGAGAGCACTGACCGGTGCTCAATGGATTACCACCGCTCACCTCAAGCTAGACAACCCCTCATCAAATTGGTGTAAACCCGCCAACTCTCATTTGCGGCTGGCCGTGGTCGGAGTTGCGCAACAGATTACGGTCTAAAAACACGTGAAGGGTTTTCTATCTTCAAAGGCTGCGTGTGACAAACGTCAAAAAATCACAATCCCGAGCTGGACTTGTTTCCCACTGCCCTATAAGTTGGGCTATTGAGCCAAAGGCTAAAGGTAGAGAACCTCGTAAAAACCTCTTTCGGAATGGGCAACCGTGGAGTAGCATCTGCCCTGTCAAGCTCATTGCTAACACTTCCCAATTTCCCCTCTTATTGCAACTCTCCTCTTCTTAGTCTACTGAGCAAGACACCACTCCTATAACCGTGAAAAAGAGACTGGATGGCATGAGATTGGGAGCTGTAGAAAACTGGAAACCGGTCCACACTACATCAACACTTGCACCACGGTGGGAAAATGTGAGAACAAGCATACCACATAAAGTACGTAGGGTGATGACTGGGAGAAGAGTAGTCCGCTTCAATATGTAGGCACACCATCAGAGTGACACTATCACATGGATTATTGACTACCCTGTTTTCAAAGCAACGACCATGGGTTTCCTGAACCCAACAATCAGGATGGAGGCATCGACTGGCAAGAATTTTGTCCGTGATCACATTAAGCGTAGTCAAGCCTGGTCTTTCAGTAGGAGAATAGGCGACAAACATGTAACAACGCAATTCCATTCGCTAAAAGAAACCAAGCTGTGTGCGGGAGCACTGTGAAGACAAAAAGTGGGTAATGATCAAATTGCGGTGTTCAGAATAACGCGAAATAACTGTATTCTACCTCGCCCTTACAGATGCAAGGCGCCATTAAATGAAATATACTCTATTTGGCGATGGTGTTCAATAGCTGTGGTTTGAAAGTGTAAACTTCTTCTCCACAGCTGACCGCAGACTGTTGTCGTCGTCAAGATTCTACACGTTAGTTAGAAGCGAAAAACACCTCAGCTATTGTGCCGTAATATAACTCAGTTAGACAGTAGTAACAAACATAATATTGTGTTTTGTTGTTTCTTAGGCATTGCAAATGTGATTGTGGTCGGAGAGGAAGGCGACGCCGGATGGAGGGAACAACGCAAATGCCTTCAGGTAGGCGTATCGCCATGTTAACAAGTGTCTCCAACCAAACGTGTGCATGTTCTCTCTCGGACCCCAATAAGGGAAACGGGAGGTTTCAAATGAGTCCAAATTGGAATACAGCACCTTCCTTTCTCTTCCCCAAATTATCCGTTGGTCTCTCATCCTCTTCGAAACCCTTACCCAGGTCAAGCAAACAACTCACATAGTGGGAGTGTACTCTGGTAAGCGTAATGCATGGCCCAGCCGTCGGAGCCTGATGCGTGAAATAAAGGTGCAGAGTGGTTCATTTCCACTTCCGGCGTCAGAAAAAAAAACACCGGACACGTTCACTGCGAACGCTGTGTTTCAACCAGATGGGAGCCACATTACGAAAACCCCGCTGGTTGAACAAAACCAGTCTCTTTACATATGTCCACCTGATGAGCCAGATTTCACAACCCTACAGTTGGGCTACATTGCAGATTCCAAACTTCGGGGCGAGAGTGATGTCGTGACGGCATCACAGGTGACAAAGATTAGCAAAAGCGCTTCCAGCTTTTATCAGAAATGTTCGTGACCAGCTGCAATTTCACAGACACTTATAAAGTTGCCTATGTAGTTGAACATTTGAACAAATTCAAGCTGAATGCCACCATGCATCAGTTCAGGAATTAGTAGTTGCAAACCCTGGGATAGATTCCATATTCTTAGGATGTAAAGTACATCTAGAAACAATTGACAGCCAGTGTAAATCCGTAGAGCACTGCCTGATGTGTGCAAGCTACCATGGATGAAGGCAATATCGTTGGTATACTTCAAGTCAAGAAGTCGATCACCTAAGAAGCGAATCCACCATTTGTTCAACAGTGAAGCTGAAGTGAAAAAGTGACAGTGGGAATCCTTGTCTCATATCACTGGAGCTATTGGTGAGGAGTGACAGCCTGTCGTAGGTCCTCACTCTGTCTGAACGCCCATTTGAGCTCGAGGAACAGGACTACGGTGGGATGCCAAGATAAGTAGTGATGCTTCAGTAAATCATGAACAGAGCTTGCCCTCCGCAAACCTGGATTTCATGGGTGTCGGGAAATTTATGAAGATAGAGGCAAGTAACAGAGGCAAATGAGATTAGACTGATACGTCTATGATTCCCGCAATTTGAACATGGGCCCCCTTGAAAATCGGGACAGAGCAGCTCCATTCGGTTGTGACAGTTCCTGCTCCTAGTTTCGCTAACAAATTATGTAGATTATACAAAGAAGCAGATCCCCCGAATTTAAAGAAAGTTGGAGTAAGTACAATTGATTATGTAAGCTTATTAAATCTCAATATTCCGATCTCAAAGTCGGCTTCTGTACAACAGCAGGTCCAGGATGCATGGCGATCATTAACCGGCAAGGAATACAGCAGTTTCATTCGATTGAATTGCTGTTCAAAGTGTGCAGTAGAATACCCCAAGCTGTGGATATGTTGCCCCCTCGTCGCATATAGTTCAGCTAACATCAGGTATATCGATGGCTATTATCGATATCTGATGGAACAGCTGACAAAAATCCGGTTTTGCAGAAACGAATGCCATCCCATCCCTAATCCTCAACTCGGAGGTCCGCGAAAATGTTTCTTTGATTACTTTGTGCTTAAGGTTAATGGTATTCGTAGAACTATTCGCAACTAATATCGTGGGAAATGCATTTAAGTTGATGGCAACAAAAAGAGGAGACTGGAGTTCGATCTGGCGGTTATAATGAAAAATATCAATGCTTTCTGACCCAATATAACCATCCTGAGGAGGTTATCGTACGAGTGGCTATAATCGTCGTTAGAGAACACAGTGACCATTCTATCATGGCAAACTACAATCCCGATTTCATCGGATCGTGCACGGGGGGTTCGAAGGGAGAAAGACATCAAAGCGAACTATATGAGGTGAAAATGCACGCAACTAACCGTGGGCACGAGCTTCTTGACACCAGATAAACACTGTGCATCGATCACCGAACTGTGAAATTAAGCGAAAAGCACGATTTGAAAATAGCAACAAGAATCCAGGGAGCATTCCTCCCATTCATCTGACAAACAACCCAAATTAGAGTGCGCGCGAGTATATACTTAGAGCATATAAATGAGAAAGTTGAAATGAAAGGATAGCACACCCGAACCCTTGTAGACAGGCAGCATTAGTGTGCAGGAATCCAACAATGAAAAATAACACTAGTGTGGATTCGTGAAGAATAGAAATGCATACATTGACCAGAGACGTAAAATAGAAGACAAAGAAGGTTATATGGGACACATTATTTCGGAGTGTGCTTGCAATCCCACTGTGAAAAGTTTGCAGTATGGAACTAGATCTGCCATTGGGTGGACTTTTTGAGTAGGTCGAAGTGGAAATCACCCCATTAGGCGAACTGAAAAAACACGGAGCTCATAAGCAGCGCTGAACTAGTATCCTTTCTAAAAGCTAGGAGAGGGAACGAAGCCGAAACTTTCGTCTCATTAGGCTTTGTAGGCAACCGGTTAATATATTTGTCGTTGGTGACGTTTCACTTTTGACACAAAAGAATCACTTTATGTGAGGACCCTTTTGTGTGGACATTCTATGCGTCCTGTATTCTACGCTACTGGCTGTGTTAAGGTATACAATGATTTGTCTGGTGTCCTTTCAGGGTTATCCAATCATCACGCTTTTACTCAGTCTTTTCGCGGATTCAAACATCGTTTTCTGTTGCGGAATCGCAGGATGCGGGCATTGAAATGCTGCTTTGTGGAAAATTAGTTGACCCGGATAATATGGATGATATCGTTATGCTGTTTGACAGTGGTAAGAGTCCTCAATCAAACCTCGATACTTGCCCCATCAGATAACATGCGCTTCGCAGCTTCCAAGTGGAGTTGCAGGACAACTAGCCACGTGATGACCCGCTGACTTTTGTTGAGAGGCTGGAGTTAGCTGACAAAATCCGCCCACCTTGTTGGCCGCATTAACAACGATAGGCATGCGTTCGGCGGGTCCCGCACCCTCGGGTCATTCGGTTTAACGACAGCCTTCCTTTGCTTAAGAGATTTCTTTAGAGCATTGCAAAGTCGAACACATGTTATCACATCAGTGGATAGACCCCGAGGAGTGCACTCGGACGAAAAAAGTTTCCAATTTTTCTCCCAACTGCGTGGAAGTACAGACGGAAGTAACCGTACACCTTGTGAAGGGGGAATAAAGGGAGTAAGCAGTTTGTTTCGATGAACTCTAAGCAGAAACTTGTAAAATGCGCGCTTGAAACTGTTATAGGTATCATTTTGTTCTATATTTCACCTGTAAATGGCCATCTTATTTGTACACGAGTCCGTTAGTTTTTCCACTGTCTTCAACGATCGCTTTCTCAATGTTATCTTGTAGGCCCATGTGGTCCTGTTTTATGGGCTTTTGTGCCGATTCGAATGATGTGCAAACCTCCGTTCCATGCTTTGCACTTCTTTGAATATTCAGCCAAACTGTTGCACATGCGAAATTACGTATTTGTATAATGCACCGTTTCGATACTTGTAAACGTTCCAGGATCCCTTAAATCGCTGGGACCCACCTACTCAGGTAGCTGTAATGTCATGGTTCGATTCAAAATCCCGTCCTTGATTCCCACCCATCCCTGTCAGCCTATTCTATAAACAAGCAAATCCATATTCCGCTCTTCTGGTTGGCACCCTATTTCTCGCATTCACTACTAAAGAACTCTATATCGTGGCGTAGTCCAGCAATAGAGCACATCACTGATACTTTTGTTAGCTGCTGCACCCCGGTTTTCCATAGTTCCCGTGCACTTGCAAGTAGTTGGAATCCCATTTATCCCATTGCATTTCGTGTATTTGACCTCTCAATCCCCAGTATATACGGATCGTCGTAGAATTCAAACTTCTCTGTACCGAGATTGGTTAGTTTTGTGATTTTTAGGACTATTCATGTCCACTCATCCATTATATTCCTGTTGAGTACTTCCATAACCCTACATGTGCTCCACCATTATTCATTCTTTTTCCATGGTCTAAGATCATTAACGTGAAGTGCTGTTGTTCACCCACTGTTGACTTATATTGGATCGCCCCGGATTCAATCCTGCGGCTTGATCTACTTCGCCTTCGTCCAACCCCGCAGCCGGATAAGCAATTGTAGCAGGCCTTAAACAATACGCTGTATTTCACTTTCGACACCTTGCGGACTGTGCTATAAGAGGCGTTTTGAATAAAACCAGACCTGTCTGCGACCGTCATTTTCGAATTGGACGGGTGCTGATATATGGTCGAGGTACTAATCCTGAGGAGTATAGGATTCTCATAGCCTCCAAAGCCGCAACATCCAGTATTTAATGGTGGGTGGGGAAAAACCGATGTTTTGCTCAATTGAGGACAGAATTTGGTCCCACAGTACCACTACCTAAGGATTTATTGCATATGCTTCAACAACAGTTGCGACGTGTGCACTGCCGGCTATAAGGAAAAGGCGGCAGCGTTGATAATGGTATGGACTCATGCTTGTCACCGGGCCTCGCGAGACACAGGATGCCAGATTCCACCGGGTCCGCTCCATTGGTGTCCTCGTCTATATCCGATTACCTACTTATCACATCCGCGGGTCGGAGCATACGCTTTATTGATCAACGGTGCTCACATAACTGTTTTCCATTGTCGACGTCCTGCATTGTTAACACAATGGATTTGTTGGTATTGCTACAAAACATTTTGAATGGAATGATCTATGTCGTCTCACATCCTAGGCAACGAAATCGCAGAATTACACCATACTCTACGCTAGCACTTCAACTTCTTAGATTGCATGCCTCACTAATCCGTCGATCAACCTCGTCTGTCGTTGTTGCTGGTCTCTTCAGAAACGCCGTTTTCGGATAAGATTTTGATCAGGCCACCTTCTTCAACAGTGACTACAGATGCTATGTCACCAACACAACTTATGGTATTTGTCTCTACCAAATCTGTTGCGTTTCAGCACAGTATGGCCGCGTTTGTCTCAGATATCTTCGGGCCTGAAAAGCGCATGGTAATTCAGTGTCATAATCCTGCTTTCCTAACCACAGCGCTCGAATTCAACGACAACTAGTATCAGTGCCAGACGCGTCGGAAGACATTTCCTAAGCAAAGTCTCAGCTGGTATCGTCGCCTTGCTAGTCCTGTCCAACACAACGCAGACTGTCCGCCTCGACCTTATCTTTATTCATATCATGGGTCCACGTTGGAAGGCGATTCATTATTGTCCAGGGCAGGGTGGCTCGTACTTCCTGCTACTATTTCTGAGTGAGTCCCATCAATGTCATCTCACATAGTGAATCGAAAGTATGGGAGAACATCTAAAACATGCAGGCTAGCAGTATTTCGTTATCAAGTACATTCTTTTGTAACCGTCGGTGGGGAATATCATCCAACGGTTGACCTTCCATACTTAGTCCAAGCTTACTTCTATACACCGCTATTGGAGTTCGCGGGTAGCTCCTTCACCGACACCATCACTTCACGTCATCCAGCCTTACACATCTGGATGAGTGGGCCGACGCCTCACTTGCTCCAACTCTTTTTAGCTCAACTCACACTGATAACGCTCACGAACAGCTTGAGCCTTTGTCAATGTTCCGGGACCAAGTTTCAGAGATTTCTTTTCAGCTATTTAATACGCCTCAAAATCGGAACTATGACGACCCTCCTGGAAGCGCTATATGTGAGACTACGCTGCCGACCGATGTTACTCATGAAGCAGTTACAAATAAGGATTCCATAATTATTAGGCGCTTACTTACACATCCCATATGTACATCTGCAACTCAGCTAGAAGCAGGTACCTCGCCTACGCTAGATAGGTAGGAGCACTTTCAGAAAGGATGTTGAGAAAAATATTTAGTAACCTACTAGATTCTACTTGTACATCCCTTTGCCGAATACTTAAAGGCCTTCTGCTTATAAAGTAGCAATGAATAACTGCTAGTGTCGTCGATTGCGCTTAGGTCATGTTCAGCGTTTATATACCACTCATCCATGTCATAGCACTGATTTTGTTCTGCAAAAACGGCAAACTGCCTATAAGCTGGAGGGCAAGTAGATTTCGGGATTTACTGATTCCCGGTCAGATGTACTGTTTCAACATGTATCAGACAACTATGATCCTCACTCACAACCATATCATATCCTTGAGTTCGTATGATCGATGTCAACTGAGTAGATGCTTCTGCTCTCAGTATCGATCGCATTACTACAAAACATGTAGCCTAGATTGAACCTATTTTTGTCACTTCCGTTTCGAACTGCCTTCCTGCATCATCCCACTACCAACTCCATACGAAGGTAACGTGGATTATGTGTTCCCAAGATTCTCAAGCCCTCACACCGCGAACACTTCCGGTCCATTTCTGTGACCTACCTCACTGTAGTATCTTCGACAGATGGGCTCCAGCATTTTCTACAAGGATGGTAATTTGAAGTCGCGACCAATCTTGTGTGAATCCTGCATCGTGTTCTCTATGTTCATTTGATATCCTCAATGTCGTTGACAACACTAATCCGAGCAGTCTTCTCTGTTGGGATCCGACGTTTCAAATGGGTTAACTTTCTCCCATTATGCCTGCGCTGCTCACACAGTTAAAGTGATCATCATTGCCCACATGAAGCACGCTCTCAATAAACGCACATACTTTCCCCATCGCACTTCATCATGAATTTGGACGAGGCCTTTCACAAGCCTGTATCCTTTTAATGGACTTCATCTGCTGGACCCACATATGGCCCGGAATATGGTGGTCCTGCCAGATGGTCACATTACGCTACAAGAAGACTTGCTTCCCAATGGCTTATCGATTAGCCGGTTGGGATATATGGTAGTTAACATGGTAGATCGTTTAGAAAACAGCTAGAGTGAACACACCTTAATTCTCAACTCTCTCGTTCACCACATCATTCGAAGCTGAGGAACCGTTCATTTATATCGGCTAACAGCACAATGTTGAAGAA